CCTTTCTTCCATAGACACTACAAAGTTAATTAGAAAAATGCCCAAGCTATTAACAGTGAACAATCTACCTTCAGGCTCTGTTACAAAACTTGTTTTTATCATATGAAACCAATGCTGGGAGCTAGCCGATAAACTGGACTATAATCAGTTAAAATGACTTTGTCCAGAGGCCAGTAGTATTGCTGGGGAGCCGTTCAAGCTGGCACCTAGTGTTTGCTGAGGTGACTAAAGAAACTAGGACAGCCTGGCCCACCACTGCAGAATGGTAAAGTTTTAAGATGGAGTGTCCATATCTTTTTCTGTAAGCAGGGGTGATGCATGGGGGAGAGAAGGCACGTGACCCTCTCCCCACATAGGTGGGAGGGACAATGGGTCAGAGTTCCTGGGCAGCCCAACAGCAGGTGGGGGACCTGCCCCCGCCCTCCCTGATTTCACCAGAAGTGGCAATGGGGCAGCAGACCAACATAGCTAGGAGCCGGGAGAAAAGAGTGAGCTAGGACCACGTCGCTCTGCTTACCCCCACTGTTGTCAGTGAGCATGGGGAGGGCTGATCACAGCTGCCAGCACAGCCCACTAGTCCTGAGTCACTCAGAGGAGGGTGCTTGTGGGAAGAAGCGGGGTGGGGAAAGGCAGGGAAGGGATGGTACTGGTGTAGATGATGCATTGTCCCATCTCCCCTTCCCTGGGCTAGAAGTGGCATGGGGAGGAGTCACCTGGGGGGGGAATCACATGACTGGTGCCCCCCATGTGTCTGTCCTTCCTCATCAGTTACACCTGTTTGTAAGTGCTTTATTCCTGTACTCATGTTTATTGGAAAAAACATGATGGAACGACAGGGCAGTACCTTACCTGGTCTACAATATGGAATAAATACGGAATTCTGGAGGTCAAGATACAAGATCTAACACTTGAAGAGGTACACTCAGAGGCTAGAGATGCAGCTAGCTGTCCAACTATGACCCCATTCATTAAGTTCAGCATAAAGACAAAATTCTCAAGAAATTACATATAATGCTCAAGAAATTGTAATAACATGGAGCTGAAAGATATACTTGACTGAAGCCTCCACTTGAGCCTCTGATTTTTAGGTATCACACACAGATATGCTTTTAACTAGTGAGAAATGCCAGCTCATGTCCATTGTATGTAATCTGTGTACCAACAAGTACATGTGTATTTATAGCAGGGGTAGGCAACTTTTTTGGGGTAAGGAGTCACTGACCCACAAAAAAAAAAAAAAATTCAGTCAGGAGCCATATGCAAGCGAAAAGAAAAAAAAATAAAAAAAACTTCTGATCCCCAAATGAAGAGAAAAAGAACAGCTCACTGATGTGGCCCCCAAATGACAAGCAGAAAAGAAAGAAATACTCACATCACCCACACAACTCATGGCACCAGGATTTTCCTTGCATTCCAGCCCCAAGAGCAGGAAAGGGCACTGAAGTTCATCCCTTCCCCAACATCCAGATTAACTCTTCTGGTGGCCTGGGGCTAATACATTCTGAGAGAGCTTCCTATACTCTGAAGCAGGAGGTAGGGTGCAGGTAGGGTTGCCAGGTGTCCGGTATTGACCCGAAGAGTCTGGTATTTTCGCCTCCTGTCTGGTAAAAAAAATTCAGAAAATACCGGACACCTAAAATGTCCGGTATTTTCTGATATTTTTTTCCCTTCCCAGGAGGCAAAAATACCAGACACCTGGCAACCCTACAATACACTCAGCAACCGTGCCCAGCCCCCGGCCCGCCC